GCAGGCCATTGAAATGTAGGATGTGAGATTTTGGTTAAAACTGATGATTTGGGAAACATCAGACGTTCGGTAACTAGCTGTAGGCGCCTTTAACAGTAGGATGTGTGATACTCATTAAATCCATTGGTTTAGGAGCAGAGGAGACAAACGACCTTACGTAAATGGATACCGGTCACTGTAACGAGAGGACGTGTGATTCATGATGACAATGACGTGTAAATCATTTATATTTAGAAAATTAAAGAAATAGCGCAATGTACATCAATGTTTATTATGGAGGAACGCAGCTGGAGCAAACACATGCCTCGTTGGTGGTTTATAGAGTTAGTTAATTCAATAATAAATTTCGTGATACATGTTCGTAGGATATTGACAAAGACTTAGTGAACCTTGACATCAGTGCCACACTCACATTACATTTTACTTACGTCTATGAGCAACGACTCAGCAAAAGAAAAAACTACGGTGCCAACGAAAGCTTAGGTTTTATTCCAGTGCTATGGTGTCTTAACCTTTATACAGATATCCTCAGATATAATGTATAGCTCGGTGTCAATACATCACGGGCTAGAACCATCCAAGTATCTATCACATTCCAATTATAGATGAGACCATCTTACACACATTTATCACTTTGAAGTAACGGAACCAGAGGCGATACCTGTAAAGGGATCCGCTACCTTAACAGCAGGAGAACCGCTCCACTGTATCAGAGCAGCCATGGCACAGCTGACGAACACCAGCATTTAGTCGTCCGTGTCCCCATAGATCACACAGGCTTAAGTACCTATATCAATGACGTTACGTCTGTTTAGCAGAAACCCATTAAGTGGTGAATGGCAAGCTAACCTAACAGGAATTCAAGGACCAATGTCAATCTTATGTTTAATGCAATTACAGTCTCGTGCATAATAAAAGAGCAAAGGCAGTTTTTTACTTCTGCTATATTCCATACATATTTATAATTTTCCAGTGATTTCTTTAGTCGATTGTTATGCTATTGAAACAAAAATTGCGTCATGAAAGAGAACTGTCTGATATTTTTCTTATAATACTGTATTGATTTTACTAATTCTTCGTTAAGACGTTTTCAAGGTAGAAAGTTAAACTTTGGATTCATTTTTTTCTCAAACATTTTGTCAAAACACGGAACAGCGTTGTGCAACACTGTGTTTTCTTTGAATAATTAAAATCGTACTCATACTCTATTCAGGTCTTTCCAATAGATAATTACTACTCAATGAAAGACATGAAAAAAGTATGAGAGACAAATTTAGTTAATACTCCTACATTAACTTGTTTTAGCATTCAGCCGCATCATCATTGAGATCAGGAATATTCACTGAAAACCTGTAGAAATGCATTAACTATCATTGGAAAAACGCTAGAGATCATTGAATAGACCTAAAAGCGAAGTGTACTCTGAATAAACCGCGAAGTGAAGCTCTAAATTATTCCTTCATGAAAACAAAAACTCGGGAATATCAACCTTTTCCTTGTCATGACTATTAGGGAAAGTCCCTAGGGGTGGGGCCTTCACCTGTGCCAATCCTAGTAGTATGATTGTATTCATTTCATCATGCGCATCAACAACTTGTATTGTCATAGGATGCAGGACCTAAAACGTTTGAACTTATGATCAAACGACCCATGTGATCGCTAAAGTAGGTCAATGTCATTTATGAGCGAATCTCAGTCACTCAGGCCAAGGTACCTATATTGATATACATGTACAAGCTTAATTACAGGACCCTGAACCTTATGGAACTTCAGAAGAAGATTGTTTTACTGTATCCCAGGTATATAATGGTCAAATATCAAGAATAATGCACGTTCCAATTTGACCCTATACAGCGCTTAAAGTTTAGCATTGATCATAACACAACACGTATGAGAAATATTACCACTACCTGTCTTCACATCATAACCAAGTACCATGGCTCAAGACCTTGTGGTTCTTCAGAAAATGATTCTTGAAATCTTTCAACATATTTGACCCCTGTGATCTTGAAAAGAGGTGTATGGGCAGGTAAGCTAATCATAATACTATACAAGACATACTAAATGTTATGACTACTTGCCGAATATCCAGCCTATAACTATTTTATTAACCGATACAAACCACGCCGTACCACATGAACTCGATTGTATTGACCTTCCTGCCGCTATTGTTGCTTGTATGATCAGAATAGACCTGATCGAGGGAAACCTGCTTTAATCTGTCATTTTTTTATTATACAGATAAAGACAGCAAATATCCTTTAAGGTCATATCTCAAGTCAAAACTTTCAAACTCTCTATTGTCAGCACTTAAGTCTCCATCGGCAACAAAGAGACTGAGAGGTCAAGGTCGAATACTAGCTCCAACCTCTCACCTTACTTGCTCAATCCACGTGGCTCGGTGACATTGGTAAGCGGTGCGATTGCCATGTGATCAGAGTATACTTTTTGATAGGTTCGTTATGACACGGAATAAAGTCAGAAGTTTTAGTTTGGTGTAATGAGATATTTACTTGGAACAAAACGTTTCTTTTGATTTAGGATAATAGCAGTTATCGCCGTTTTTCTTATAAATAAGGACAAATACACAAAGGCATGATATTGAACTATATATCTTTATGAAATTATTTTATATTGTGCAGAGGAACTATTGGGTAAAACGATAGTCTTTATTACCAATACTTGTCCCAGTGAGAGATTGGAGGTATTGTACTCTACACAACCTACCACGGGCACATCATGAACAGTTCGGTGGCTTCAGTCCATAGGCGATTTGTACTCAATAAAAGACGATTGGTGTTATATATAAAGGATGATTCCTATAAGATTGGTTATAAACGCTACATTTATCAAAAGTAAGGACAGACATATGTAACTTGGAACCAATTAAATACCGGCACCGTCTATCAAAGTCTGACGTTCACACTAGGACACAAGACGGCCTATAGACGGACTACATACAGATAACAGACACCGATCGAGCGTCCACATTTCAGGTCTATAATCCATTCAACTATAATAGTGTTGTTCTTCCACCGAAAATATCGATTGGAGCCGAATTTCTATTGGGGAAGAGTACAGTTATGTACAATATTCTATTTATAGTACGCCTTAGGGCACATGGAAATGTTACGGTAAAAATATAATTCCATATTGAGTCACATGTTATACCAAATACAAAACAAACAGTTACATATGTTGTACATCATACACAATAGACAATCACGTGTTATTCACCATACNTGTTGTCGGGTTCCCATACAATCAACAAATAAATTCACGCCTGGATAGTCCGAATTAACTTCCAAATATAACTCCTTTCAGCTCAGAGTTCTATTGATAAACTTAAATCACCCTATAGACATATCATACGCAATTGTATTGATACTGAATTGTGGAATAAAATTGAAGTTTTTGTTAAAATTTCAAAGTATTACTTTGTTCGCCAATCAGCACGCGACAATACGAAATTGTGTGGACTGTCGATAAGACGAGCATTTTTAATTTTAAATATAAATTATAAGTTAAAAAAGAACATACGAGGTAGAGAAAACGTAAATATAAGTATTGAACTGTTTTTGAATGGTATTTATGATCTATTTGAATGACACAGCTTTGCAAGCAAACAACTCATAATGCGCTAAGGAAATTAAAATACATCCTAAATAGAAAAAAACTTGGAAAAAATATACCTTGTTTTTATAAGACCACTATTTGAATATGCCTGCGAAGTATGGGACAATTGTACATGTAATATCACATTTTCGAATAAATTAGAGAACATGCAGTATGAAGCAGGTCGAATAATAACTGGATTACCTATTTATACCATAAAAAGAATTTATTTACAGAGAGCTCGGATGGAAATCATTGATAGATAGACGCAGGATTTATCATGATAATGCTCCCTCATTTCTAAAATCTCTTCTACCACCTATTGTGTCAAACTTCTCTAACTATACTCTTAGAAACAGGAATAACTTTCAGAACCCATACTATAGACTGCAAATCACAAAATCATCCTTCATACCAAGTACTTCAGAGTACTGGAACAATCTACCAATAGAAACAAAGTCATCAGCATCCATTGAACAATTTAAAACTCTTATTCAACCTCAAGTCACTACCCCTTCTTATATTAAATGTTTTCTTGAATATGGGTCCAGAAAAGTAAATATTATACATTGCCAATTACGAAACCGCAGTAGCTCTTTAAATTACGACCTTTTTAAAGCTCACCTTCGAGACAACTCCACTTGCGACTGCGGAAATGACTCGGAAGACTCTTCCCATTTCTAACTAAACTGTAAAAAAAAAATTGATCAATCCCGTAATGTAATGCTTCAATCCCTCGACTGGTATAACGAAATCACTGTTGAACACCTTCTCCTCGGAGATGCAAACCTTGACTACAATCTAAACATTCAAATTTGTAGGTCTGTACAACTGTTCATTTTTAGCTCCAAACGGTTTAACATGTAATACCCAACAGTCATATTTAATAACCAGGATACCTACTTCGACTATTCCATCTGTCTCTCCCCTCCACCTCCTCTCTTATTCCAGCCCCTCTTCTTTTTTCCAACACCAACGATCTCTGTGTACTAACTTCAATATTAGCATCCATCAATATCATAACCGTTTCCATATGACAAAGAGTGCGTGTCCGGTTTTCCTAATCTAGTCGGCTAAGTATGTAAGGCAGAAATTCACAGAAGGACTTGGAGTGACACAGGAGAAAGGCAAATGCGGCACGGAATGTGATTGAACTTTAGAAAAGCAGAAGGATATGTGTGTATAGAGTAGGTGATTGCTTACAGATGATGGTGATTCTGCATCTTGTGGCATCCTTGACTTGTAGTCCGTCACTGCTGTCATTCTAGTCGCAAAGCCTCATTTGACGTCATTAGGTGATGGCCAGCCCTCTTCAGATGTTTCGACCCTTAATCACTACATCCTCCGGCTGGTGGGTCAGTAGTGGTGGCCAAACCACTACTTGTCTATGTCGGCTTCCACATCGGCTCATCTCGTTTGTGCCATAGCCAGCACGATGCTCTCTCTGCAGCTTCTCCCAATCGTCTGATGGCGGTAGCTCTTGCTCTCCCAGTGAGTCCTATTGACTGTAGTGTCCTCCACACTGACTCTGCGGGGAAACCTCTACAGCCAACCTCCACTGGAAAGAGCCATACTGTCCATCCTCTGCTCCTGCACTTTTCCATCAGCTCATCATACTTGGCTTTCTTCCTCTCGTGAGCTTCCTCGCAGCCTTCCTCCCATGGTACGGTGAGCTCTATGGCGATGAGGTGTCTGGATTGCTCTGTCCAGATTACCATGTCAGGCCTCAGTGTTGTTTCCACTATTCCTGGAAACACAAGCTTCCTGTCAAGGTCAACCTTCATCTCCCATGTTGACGCCCGTTCAAAGATGGATGAGGTGCTTCGAGGCTTCACTGTGGCTTTCTCCCCTGGTTTCACAAACTTGATACCAGCCTGGTTTGTTCTTACACCAGTTCTTTTCTTCCTTCTCTCCACTTCAAGGATATCCGCTAGGACCCGCAAGACGTTGTCGTGCCTCCATCGGTATCTACCCTGTCGTAGTGCTTCTTTGCAACCAGACAAGATATGAGCCATTGTTCCTCTTCCTCCGCATAGCTTGCAGCAAGGATCCTCCGTCAATCCCCACTGATGCAGGTTAACAGGAGATGGTAGCGTGTCATACACGGATCGTAGCAGAAATGATATCCGGAAGGGCTCCATTCTCCATATTTCAGCCCACGTCATCTTCCTCTCTGGGAGATTCCATCTGGTCCACGCACCCTGTTTGCTGAGTTCTACAGATTTCCCTCTCCTCCTTTCCTCCTCAATCCTTCTGATTTCTTTCTGCACCATTTGCCGTCTTTCTTGGGTATTTGCTTTCTCCCACTGCTGGAAATGAGAGAAGCCAACTCCTTGTCTTCCGACGCAGGTATTCCCGATGATATCCTTCAACTCGAGCATACTCTCTGCTTCACCAACTGCAGTGCTTGCTGACCACTTTCTCCCTGTTCTTGTCTGTATCCCTGCCTCGCTGATTTTCACGTCTTTGGAGTCCCTCAGAGTCATCACCAGCCTGCATTTTGCTACCTTGAACTCTTCAACGACCGATTTGAATGGTAGTTGTAGTTCTGCCGAACAACTGTACAGCCCAACTGATGTGAAACTTGGTGGGACCCCAAGCCACTTCCGCAGGTACCCATTCACCATCTTCTCTAACCCTTCTACTGTTGAGGTTGGTATTTCATACAGTAGCAGCAGCCATGTGAGCCTTGGTAGCATGCCATGCTGGTATATCCATGCTTTGTACTTTCCAGGAAGTCCCGACTTGTGGATCTTCTTCATCCACTGGCGCACTTGGCTTTGGGTGTTCTTGTGGTTCTGGCTGTCACTGAGTGTGTCGTCAAACCATTTCCCTAGGCACTTTATGGGGCTGCCAATGATTGAAGGTATCTCCTCCTCTTGGACCTTCAGTACAAACTGTCGGCTGAGTCTGCCATTCCTCATAATCATGCAACGTGATTTCCGAGGTTTGAACTGCATCCGTGCCCATGTAACTACCTCCTCCATCGCGGACAAGACCCATCTGGCCTGTATATGTGTGGTGGTAGTGATCGTTAGGTCATCCATGAAGCCTCTATTGGCTGGTTGGTAGATGCCAGACTCAATTCTAGGTCCTCTGGTTTTTCTCTCTGCTGCCTTGATGATGATATTCATTTCCATGATGAAGAGTATAGGTGAAATGGTACATCCTGTAACTATTCCCTTTTCCAGGTCTTGCCACTCTGTAGTGCTCTCCCCAACTGTAAACCGCAACTGTATCCCTCCGAAGTAGCTCATTATCATTTTCCGGATGTGCTCCGGAATATGATAATGGTCCAGGGCTGCCTCAATCAGTTTATGTGGTACAGATCAATAGGCGTTTGCAAGATCTAACCAAACCACTGTCAGGTTACCTTTTTTCTGCTTGGCTTCTCTGATCAGTTGGCTGATGACGCTTGTATGTTCTACGCATCATGAAAACCCAGGGATTCCTCCCTTCTGACTTGAGGTGTCGACGTAACTGTTTTCCACCATGTAGGCTGTCATGCGCTTGGCAAGAATCGAGAAGAAGATCTTTCCTTCGACACTCAGCAGCGATATGGTTCTAAATTGTTCAACTGTCTTGGATTCTTTCTCTTTAGGAGCAAAGATTCCCTCTGCTTTCTTCCAGCACGCCGGAATTGTCCCTTTCTTCCATACTTTACAGATTAGTATACTATTTAAAAAAAGAAAAGCACATNACAATAGACAGTCACGTGTTATTCACCATACACAATAGACATGCACGTGTTATTCACCATACACAATAGACATGCACGTGTAATTCACCATACACAAGAGACATNATCATTACCTCTTTTGCTGTAACCCATCTTTAACATCTTATATATACATGTATATATACATATATATATTTGTATTAGGTTATTACGTGACACATTAATTTTGGTTATATATATTCTGTTACGGAAAGGACGTAAGTAACTTTTGTCCAATCCATTTGTTTTTTGCTGCAATAAAAGTGATTTAAACTATACTGCGCACGTTACGGAGACAGTGCTCGTATATCTTTNACACAATAGACATTCACGTGTTATTCACCATACACAATAGACAGTCAGGTGTAAATCACCATACATAATAGACATCCACGTGTTATTCACCATACACAATAGACAGTCACGTGCTATTCACCATACGCAATAGACAGTCACGTGTAATTTACCTTACATAATAGACATTCACGTGTTATTCACCATACACAATAGACAGTCATGTGTAATTCACCATACATATTAGACATTCACGTGTTATTCACCATACACAAAAGACATTCACGTGTTNATCACATAATGTACTGTGTTATCACATAATGTACTGTGTTATCACAAAATGTACTATGTTATCACAAAATGTACTATGTTATCACATAATGTACTTTGTTATCACATAATGTACTGTGTTATCACATAATGTACTGTGTTATCACATAATTTAATGTATTATCACATAATGTACTGTGTTATCACATAATGTACTATGTTATCACATAATGTACTGTGTTATCACATAATGTACTATGTTATCACATAATGTACT